CGTGGAGAGGATGAAAACGGTATGAGAGGCAGAGCAAGGAGAGGTTATTTTGAGTAAGGGCTGCTGGACGTTAGAAAGGCACAAGGGAAAGGAAGGTTTAAGGTACGGAAATCTACTCTCCTTTGATTCGTGACGGTGGTGAACGTCGGGACTTCAGCTTTCATTATCTGAAAGAATGACAGCATTGACTTCAGTTGACAAAGCTAACTAAAGGGAAAGTGTCAGCTTTTACTTGACAGTTTCAGCTAGCTTCACATACAGTGGTCAAGTTTATCAGAACCAAGTACCACATCTCATTAAGTAGAAGTAATGGAACCAGGTTTGAGAGGAATCAAGATATTCATAGAACCACAAAGTTGGAAAGGACCTAAGAGATCATCTAGTCCAACCATCCTATCACCATTACTACCACTAAGCTACTAAACCGTATCTCATAGCTCCTCATCCAGACATCCTCTTGAACACCACCAGGGACAGTGACTCCACCACCTCCCCACCTCCCCAGGCAGCCCATTCCAGCGCCTCCCTTCTCTTTGGGAGAAAAAGTTTTAACCTAAACCTATTGTTAGCACACCAAACGTGTATAAAGTTTGGCCGTGCAGTCCTCCAGCTGTGTAGATTAAGGTGGTTGAATAAGTGTAACTGAAAAATTTGGTACATTTGGTAGCTCTATTTCTAGAGGCACTCTTCAGGGCTGCTGGTAAAATTGGTAAGTTACAAAAAGAGAAATTTCCAACTCCATGTTACAATGCATACAATGAAGCAGTCTTCATGGATAATCTCAACCAGAGACCCAAATCCAACTCAGCTTTGAGGAAGCTAACACTGAAAATTGAAGCGTAGGAGTTTGATAGCTTTCATATCAAGTCAAGCAGTAACACAGTGAAGCATCCTGTTCTGGAAAGTGGAAAAAAAATGATAAGCCACCATAGTACTTTCATAGTAGTTTCCCACTATTCCCAAGCCAAGTAACATTGCAACATACGTGCATTCTTTAAGTACCTTATCTTAACGAGACCTTACAGCATTTAGAAAAGAGCTGCTATGGAATTACTTAGGGAACACTAGTATTTTAGAAGTGGTATTGCTGAAAGTGTGTAACATCTAAACTGACATGCACTACAGAACACAATCAGACACATGCACTGTTGAAGGCCATCAACTAAAAGCTGAGAAGCATCACTACTGCAGCCCCTACGAATTACAGAAACATTTTTCTCCAAGCGAAAAGAGGAACAGTACCTACCCCAACTTCTCCACACCGCTGTACAGTTACCACACATAAAGTGAAAATCCGTTTTCTTAAAGGTTAGAAACCACATCAGAAGTTAAACCAATCTATATGTAGATTTATTTATGACGAGTTTAGGTGAACAACGGGAGGTAAGGTTGTTTTATTCTGGAAGAAAACACCTCATTTCTGTTCCCATTTGCTAAGGAACCCTAGTATTAAGAGATAACATGGTTATTCTTATCCGGCACTGAGGCTGTATTACTGAAGTTCTTAGGAGTGCACACTAGTTTACTAAATGTAATATTTGGTGAAGCCTTTGGTGAAGTCAGCCAAGCAAGTGCTTGCCTCCACCCCCTCCCCAAACTTGTTTTGCACATTCAGTGTCTGCAGGCAGAGAGCTTCTTTTAACCAAAACTCCATACCTAAAAAGTAGATCAAAGCTTCAAACTTCTGAAGTAACAACAGATGAAACTACAGAAGCACATTATTTATAACATTCCAATGGCTACCCAGATCATGTAAAATACTCTGAAAATGATACTAAATATTAATGAACTACTGAATCCAATCACTGGATGTATTTGTAAGTAGAAATTTTGTTACAACATTTATTATCAGTAGAAACAAAATTTACATTGATTTTATAGAAACTATATTAAACATACATATAAACATACCTACATCTTAATATGTACTTATCAACATGAGATCTAGGTATGGAATAACATTGTCAGAAGCACAGTTGTGGACTCCAGAGACTACACACAAAATGCTTTTGCATTTAATTCCATCTTCAGTAGTTTAATAGTTTAAAAAGGTTATTTTTTTTCTTCTTTTAAATCCACGCTTACGAATGATTCCATTAAAGGTTTCTGATCATATTATTTGTGCATATGTATACACACACGCACATACACTCATTAGAAGGTCCTAATGGAGGAGAAAGCTACAGTATAAATAAGGTGAACTTGAATATATTCCTTAGAAATGGGCATTAGTCCACATTCTCATTCAGTTGCTAAAAAAGGAAAAAAAACTAGCCCTGCTATTCTTAAAATATTCAATACGGTGGTTTTTTTTTTTTATTCCATGAAAAGCGAACCAAAAACAACTGCTTCCCCTCTATCTCTTCCTTCAACAACAAAAACACAAGGAGCCAGTCACAAAATAAAAGCCATCTACTACATTATTTACAGAAAATGAAATATTAAAAAGATGTGAGACTTTGACAAAATTTAGAGCAGCGAACAGAGGAAAACCATATTAAAGTGGCAGGCAGCATAAAACTATTAAACCACGGGGCTAAATACCTACTGAGAACACCCTCCACCAAAACAACATCAAGGCAAAGAAAGGACAAGGAGGGGGCAGGTATTGCAACAATAGCAGTCTCAGACCTCAGCTGAAAAAATACGTTCACCAAGCTTAAAACAGAACACGTTTAAACGTTCACTACCATCCTCCCTATCTACAAAGGAGTTAAGTGTTACAAGTAGGCTTACAACAATCCTGAAATGGCTTTTATTTCCTTCCCCTCCCTCCTGTAAGATGAAACTCTGATCTTCAAACCCTGCCGCAGTGGAACGAAGTCTGTCAAGGGCCAGATTTGTAGAGAAACATCCAGTTCTTGCAGATTCGTTAGGATGCAAGTCTGAAGCCTTTCTTTTAGAGAACTCTCCTGGAGAGGTGGCTGTTCAGATGCCTGAAGAAAAGCAAGAGGCATATTTCTGAAGTGTATGGGAAAAGATTTCTTCAGTAAAGAAGGAAGTTGAAGAATCTCCCTCTGCTTACAAGTCTTCTAAAAGCGAGAAGGCTGAGAAATCAGATCTCCATAGCTTAATCTTTGCTAAAATCTTTAATCATCTTCTCCAACCAATTTTCACTATCAATTTCCTAGACATGGCAGAGAAAGACCTTCTGAAACACAACAAACAATCATCTTTTGAAAACCCAGAGTTCCATAATGCCCAGAAGTGTGATTTTTTAAATTTATTTTGCTCTTAAAGGAAGTTCACACAAAGAAAAATCAGCATTTCACCCCAAGGCCCCGTGAGAGAAAGCAGCAGGTAAGCTATTATCACAACTGGCTATCAGCTGAATTTGCTCCCACCTCCTGCTATTGGGTACTTGAGCTTTGACAATCACATTGAGGTCTCAGGACCACCTAAATGCATCAGATAAGGTGATATGAATCATTTAAGTCATTATTAGAGTTAAGGCAGACTTATACATACTTCATGATGTGTTGCTTACTAGCCCCAGAATTTTCTTGACTTGATCACCACATATAAGCTAAGAATTATAAAATGAGGATTTAACCCAATCAATCAATATAGAGATTAAACTGATCAGCAGCATTAACACTAAATTCACAACTTACGACACTTATAAGGAAGACTAATCATGTTCATTGACTGTATTTTGGATAGCCATGAAAAGAAAAAAAACATTTCACATGTGAACAACTGAGAACATGACAAGCATTCAGCGGTCATTTCAAGTCAACTAACAGAAAGGCAATTCACATTTATAAAACAAAGCTAACTAGCTCTTAGACAATCATATTCTTGACTTGCCTTTCCAATGTAAATGCAGTGACCAGCTTCACTAATACAAGGAACATTTTTCCTTTGGAGCAGAGGATTACTCACATAGTTAAAAGTAAGCAGTTACATTAACAACTCTACTCAGTCCATGCTCATATTAGAAATAATGCAATAATCAGAACATTATTTAAGTCTTTGTACAGAGGGCATTTTCTACAATGTAGTCACAATATAGAAAGGCACCAAATTATTCAAGTAAACTGAACTTCTTCTTAACACTCGTTTTCTCAACTTGAGCCCTCTCACAAACCAATCAGTAATTTCAATATATTTTTCTCAACTAACCATTCTGTCAGTACAACAGAACTTTCCTATGCTGAAAGAAAAAATGAGCCAATTACTCGTGT